AAAAAAAAAAAAAAATTTCAAATTTTTCGATCGAAATTTCAAAAAAAAAAAACGTACCGATCGAACGAAGAACCCCTTGCCGCCGCGTTTAGATGGTCCCGACATTTTTTCGGAATTTTTTCGGACGTCTAACGAGCAAAAAACGAGAGAGAGAAAGAGAGTAGAAGAGAGAGAAAAATGAGGTGGAGGGTAATTTTGACTTTTGGGGGCGGTAATAATCGAAAAGGGGGCGGTGTTTAGCGTTTCACTTTTTCAATACCTCCCCCCCTTTGTTTGTCTTCATTAATCACATGCCTAAGTCAACCCATCTTGTCACATGTCATAAGATGACAAATCAATCAATACATGGTCTTTCTTCTTTGTCACACTGCAATCGGTTCAATCCCCAGTCAATCAAAGAAAAAAACATTACGATGAAATCACTGCTAGGAACACGGACAAAGAAAATAAGGCGAAAATGAAGCAAACTACAGAATATATTTTTACTAACTGATCACATGATATGGTCATCTTGAATGAAATGAAATTTCTAATGAATAAATACATATCATCATTTATTAAAATTCAAAATAACAGAAACAAAAACTTGCATCACTCGGACATTTGGTACAAGTACAACATGTCTGGAGTTGAACGACGGGACTCTACTGCACTATACGTGCTATAAATAGGGTTTTCATAGAAATAATGCTCCTGAGAAGCCATGTAATCCATGGTAACACAACGAGAAACAAATTCTCAAGGGACATTCGTAACTTGAATGGACTGCAACATGTCAGAGACCGAAATAACCAGGTCTCCCGATTTTATCATCCCCCGGGCCTTGAGCAGGGAAAAGGTCTTGTTGAGATTGCTTTCCATGTCATCCGAGAAGCTCAAACGGAAAGGTATGAGGCCCCACTGCAGATTCAGGCGCCTACGTACAGACGTGGTCGTTGTAAATGCAAAAATCGGGCAGTCGGGTCGGCAGCGTGACAGGAGGGATGCCATGTCACCACTCTTTGTGTAAACGAATATAGCATCCACCTCCAAGTTGTTGGCTACAAATAAGACCTCAAGTTAGCACTTAACAAAAGGGAAACACAAATGTGGAATCTTTGCACAACAGCATATCAATCTTGTACTATATCCAGCAGAATCATATTTATCAGCAACTGGAAAGTAGTCATTTTTTCTCTTCTTTTTTTTTTTTTATTTTTTTTATTTTTTTTATTTTTTTTCACTCTCACTTGTCAGGTCTAATTACAAGAAGGAAAATAAAAGAAGTCCTCAGGGTTTGGGTTCTTACAGAAGAACCCAAAAGAAAAATGTAATAATAATAATGATCAAGGGGGATTTCGTAGCTTTTGTGAAACCATTGGTTTCTTGTGAGTTGTGACTAGCTCAAATTTCAGGGGCTCCATAATTCTCCCATCTAAACAATTATCCATAATTTTAAAAAAACTTTTGAGTTCTTTGTAAATAGGACAAACGTCAGGATTTTCCTTTAAAATTATTCCTTAGGTCTAGCCTAATTACAACAAAAACCAGTTATATTCAAAATGAAAAACACCCGACAACCGTCATTTTAAGTTCTACAAAAAATGCATCACCAAAGAGGAGGCTATTTGACAGGAAAAGGGATCACAATTTCAAATGGATAACAGGAGTTTCCTGCAATAAACTAAACCAATAGGCAATTTCACAATTCTCCATTTAAACACATTGCTAATCGGAACGAACATCAAACAAAATATATGCTTACCCATCTTAGCAGCAGAGTTACATATCTCTTCCGAAATACTATCAGCAAAGGAAGATGCTATGCCCGGCAGCTCCATGGCCTCGTGCCTTTTCTCCTCCCTCCACCATTTCTCGATCCTCAGGCTCACACTTCTCAAAACGGTCAATGCTTTCTCCGGGTACTGACCCATCGCAGACTCTCCAGAAAGCATAAGAGCATCCGAGCGCTGGCGAACTGCCTCCGAGATATCCGCCACCTCAGCCCTAGTGGGCGTGGGGTACTCTATCATGGATTCAAGCAGCTGACTTGCAACAATCACGGGCTTGTTCAGTTGCCTGCAGACTCGGACTATCCTTTGCTGTTCAGACGGAACCTGTTCTAAAGGAATTTGCGCGCCAAGGTCTCCTCTCGCTACCATTGCCCCATCTGATGCTAGCACGATTTCCTCCAAGTTTGTGAGCGAGTCAATACTTTCGATTTTCGCAATTACGGAGATGTCACTTCATTTTTACCAGAGCAATTTTTTGTCAGTTACATGAACATGTTTTGAATTAAGATGGAAGGTTCTAGTGCACGGTAAATAAAGCAAGTTTTGAAGAACTTGGATTTGGTTCAAAATATCATTAAATTGGAATAAAATTTTGGGAC